GGGCTTCCTGGGTGCGATGGCCCCGGCGGGGGCAAGCGGCCCGTGAAGAGCTCCAGAGATCGCGCGCTGTAAACACAGGACCGGCTGCTGTTTCTATTTTAACCTCTCTTTTTGCGTTCTCCGAACGTGACGCCATCACTGGGTTGGCGTTGATAAATACACTGTGGTTCAGGCCTCCAGGAAGGGAGCGATAGGGAGCAAGAGTCTGTTAAATTTTCTGGCTGTTGCTGCTTACGGGTGCCGCAGAAAGCAGTCTCTCTTCTCCAAGTTTGCCAGGGGCCAGCGAGCCCTTCGTTGCTGGGGCAGCAGCTGCTGTGTCTTGGCTTCTGGCCCTGCCTCGTTCAGCTGATGTTGTTCAGACCCTGCTGAGCCGCCTGGGCTGCGCAGTGCGTTAAGCACCTGGGGTTTCGGAGCTGTTTTGGGCTGCTCTATTTCTCCTTCAAACGAGTTTCAGGGGAATCTTTATAATTGAAAGGGAAGAGGTGGAACAGCCCCATGAGTTAACAGGCTGCCTCATGGCTCGGTGCTGGCAGGAAAGTTCCTGCCTCCGTCCGATCGAGGACAGGGTCAGGTTTATTTCTCAGCTGCAACCGAGCTCGGAGCGCTGCATGCTGGACTCCTGTAGGTTGCCTGAGCACGTCTCAGCATCAGGGTTTCGTTCCTGTGGCTGCAGTTCATCCGTTGTTCAGCCCCGTGCGGAGGGAGTCTGGGAGCTTCTTGTCAGTTCAGATTACTGTCTTTTTAATGGCGGAGAGTCCTGTTTAAGCCTGACTGATCCAGGCAGCTGCTGGGCTATTTCAGCTCACAAGATCTCCACAAAGTGTATTAAATCAGCTCGGCGATTCAGAGGTGCCCTCTCAAAGCAGGCAGGTTCCCCGAGCTGAGTGTGCTCTGCAGCAGGGCAGTACGACGCGCTGTCTCGTGCTGCAGAGCCACCGGAAAACGCTTCTGGGTCTGAGGAGCAGCAGCTGAGGCTTTGTCAGAGGCTTGTGGATGGCTTTTAAACAGCTGCTGACTTATTCACGGGCGATATTGGAAAGGAGGCAGAGCTGCCTGCTTGGCCTGTCAGCGGACTGCATGATGTGCCGACCTCGCATCAGCCTCTTCTCTTGGTGCTGGATCCTTTTAGCGCGGAGAGCCAGAGCAAGGACAGCGAGTGGCTGCACGGGTTATTCTGTACCTCTGGGGCATCCAGGTTTCTTTAAGAATTGCTTGGGGATGAATAATTAAATCGATGTATTTCTTAGCTCTAGATCAGCTGGGAAGGGAGCAGATGCACGTGCTGTCAGGCACTTCCCCTTTGCGAGGATGTCAGCCTGAGTGTGAACTCTTTGTGGCCAGAAGCATCTCTTTGGTATTTGCGCAGCACTGAGCACGAGGAGCCCTGGCTGGCGCCACATCCAGCCTCATAACAAACCTCGTGGGTTGCACAGGAGCGTTATGTATCCAGGATGTCTATTAATAAACATTTTGTAACGGGGCCTCGCTGGCTCATCAGCTGGAAGCAACTGGCCGGAGGATTGCTTCCGCTGCGGCGCAGAGGCCGTGATGGAAACAGGCCAAGAACAGGTGGGTTCGCTAATCCTGGCTGTGGTTTCCTGTGTTTCTGCAGGGAGCAGATGTGAACTGCATGCATGGCACCCTGAAACCGCTGCACTGCGCGTGTATGGTGGCTGACGCGGACTGCGTAGAGCTGCTGCTGCAGAAGGGAGCAGAGGTAAAAGCGTTTAAAAAATGCAAACGGGTCCAGGAAGTCGTGAGCGCACGAGACGCATTGCCGTGTTGCAGATGGGCTGTGATAAACAGCTGAAGTTTGAGCCTCCTTCTTCCCAGTGAGACAGAACTATCAATCAACCACGTTTTTAAGCTATGCCACTTTTGTGCTTTGTTTTATGTTAATAGCAGCTGTGCTGCTCCTTCAAAAGGCAAACGTGCTTTTTCCCAGCCAAAGTTATATCGTACAAGCAGGGAGGTCCTTTCCGTATCATCGAAGCGTTTGTGCCTGAGAGCTCACAGGCACCGGCTCGTCTGGGGAGGGAAAATAATTTTGTGGTGAAAGCCTAAAGGAAGAATTAAAAAGTTTTAGGTTTCCTGTCTGGTTTTTGGCACTTCCTCTAGGCAGATTGTACCCCTTCCCGTGCCTCGTTTTTCCATTCTGTAAATTGGAGATGAGGCATGCAAACGTGCTGCAGGAATAAAGGGTTTTGTGAAGCGCTGGTGAAACTTTCCCTGGCGTCAGGAGGAACAAACGGAGTTGGGTCAGTGCTGGGAGCCTTTGGGAAGCACCTTCACCAGCAAATTTGCTTTTCCCCATCTCCTCCCTTGCCCTTCTCACGCAGGTTAATGCCCTGGACGGCTACAACCGAACCGCCCTTCACTACGCCGCAGAAAAGGACGAGACCTGCGTCGAGATCCTCCTCGAATACGGCGCCAACCCCAACGCGCTGGACGGCAACAAGGACACCCCGCTCCACTGGGCCGCCTTCAAGAACAACGCGGAGTGCGTGCGGTCGCTCCTGGAGAACGGCGCCCTGGTGAACGCCCGCGACTACAACAACGACACGCCGCTGAGCTGGGCTGCCATGAAAGGCAACCTGGAGAGCGTGAGCATCCTGCTCGACTTCGGAGCCGAGGTCCGAGTGGTCAATTTGAAAGGTCAGACCCCCATCTCGCGGCTGGTTGCGCTGCTGGTCAGAGGACTGGGCACGGAGCGTGAAGATGCCTGCTTCGACCTTCTGCACCGGGCTATTGGACACTTTGAGTTACGGAAAAACGGCAACATGCCCCGGGAGGTAACCAGGGATCAGCAACTCTGCGAAAAGCTCACCCTGCTCTGCTCTGCCCCGGGCACCCTAAAGACACTGTCTCGCTACGCCGTGCGCCGCAGCCTGGGCGTACAGTTCCTGCCGGAGGCCGTGAAGGAGCTGCCTTTGCCCGCCTCCCTGAAGGAATACGTGTTGCTCCTTAGCTAAGCGAGAGGTGAGGCTCGGGGTTTTTTTTTGTGCTTGGCTTACAGCCCCGTTCCTCCCTGCTTCATAGGGGCAGCGACAATAACCAAATTAACCACTTGGTTTGTGACTCACGGATGCCAGACACCCCTCTCACCCCGATGGACAGGCGCCGACCGGTCGCCATCCTGGGTTTCCTCCTGCTCTGCTCTTCTGTCTGACCCAGCTCACTCGGGGCAGGACAGCGGGATCTTCCCGCGCCGCTTGCATCCGCGGAGCGGAAAGGCCCTGTGTAGTTTCTTTGCCTACTTGGCTCCTCCCAAGCTCTTCCCCTTCAGTTTCAGCCTTGAGCCACCCGCATCCTCATAAGACAACGTATCCCCCTTGAACAAATGGCAAATTGTATCCCAGCTGTGGGATTAACTTTTTTTTGGAGTTGGGGCAGACCTTGGCAAGAGCAGGGTCTTTTTGGGGAGGAGAGAAGAACGGAGAAAGGATCTTCTTCGTTTGCTAAAGGACTTGTGGCAGGAAATCAGGAGAAGGTGTTGCAGGAAGTCCAGGGAAAAGCACACCGTGAGCTCGTGTACTGAGTCCGTATGTTGCATAGTGGTGTGGGCTGATGCCTTCACTCAGAGCTAGTGCCTGCGCCTGTCCTGGCACAGCCACGGCTGCCTGAGCACAGCACCCTGCGCTCCCAACAGATGGTGAAGAGCTTGTCTGCAGCTCCTGATGCTTTGGGCAGGACCTTGGACTTCCTGTCAACACATGGGAGAGGTCTTTTTCCCCTCTTCGCAATTTTTAAGACCTGTCAGCCTTTTCAAGGGGAAGGGAGTGGGACAGAGGAGCCCCCAGTGCTTGGCAAACCAAGCACAACTCCTGGGGATGCTGAGAGGAGCATCTGGATCAAGGTGCGAGTTAAGTCACGATTTACTGTGGCTGGTGGAGCCAGGTCTGCAGCGCACCGGTCCCTGCTACTCGGTTAGGACTGATTCCTACCAAAACACTTCTCTGGGGCAGAGAAGCCATGGCCGCCCTGCTCTCGTTGCTCTCTGCTCTGCAAGTTTGGCATCCTGAGGTTGTAATTCCTGCAAACAGAAGAAAGATTTCCCTTGCTGTGCAGAGTAGGCAGCAGGATGAGCGCAGGATGCTCCGTACTCCTAACCTGAGGGGTTGGCTCATACCTACCGTGCAGTAACCTGTCTGAGTTCTTCCTTAATTTACCATTTTGATTTTGCACTGCCCACTCACCATTTCATTGTTGATTTTCATTTATGTGTGTGTATATATATTTTTGAAGGTAATGTGTAAACGCATTGGCAGCACGTCCGCGTGGGAAGCTGAGCAGGAATTCCTCAGGTAGTGCCCTCTCTGTGTTTAGCAAGTTTTGCTCTCAAAGGGAGCGTTCCCAGCACGTACTGTAGCCATGGACGGAGAGGCGAAAGGCTCCGAAGGAAGGAAAACAAGGCGATCTCCTCTTGAAATACTGCCAGAGCTTGCCGGGCACGGAGCCGCTGCCTGCCGTCTGGTTGTAGTGTCTCATGTGTCCACGTCTTGTATCCACAGAAATAAATGGCTCCCTGCAAGCCGTGAGCTGCGCGTGGGAAGGTTTGTGTGTTGTGCTGTTGCTGCCAGGGCTGGCTCTGGGTTTTATATAAATTTTAGCTTTGGTCCTGCTCTCCCCTCGCTGCTTTGAGCCACGTCTTCCCCCAGGGCCCTTCTCTCCCAGCCCTAACCGCACCTCGGCTGTCTAGACCTCCTCGTCCTGTCCTCGTGCCCCCGCTTCTGCATGGCGTCACTGTGGTCAGCCCCGTCCGAGACCACTCCTGCGCGTGCAGACCCCCTTCTCACGAGACGCCCTCGCCCTGTCCGTCCCGTGCTGGCCTGCGCCGGCTCTGGGGGCAGCGCTGTGTCCGAGGAGCCATCCCATGGGATTTGTCTGTTCTTTTTGACGTCTTAATGACGATGCACCAACACTCTGCAAACCCTTCGTCCTCCAGGCAGAGCTGCCCTGCGCTCATGGCTGAAGGTGATGTGAGATTAGATTTCAATTACTTTATGGGATAAGTTTTGGGAGAAAATACAATTTTTTTCTTCCGTTGTGTGTGAAATGTGCGTGGGAGAAGTGTTGTGCCTTCGCTGGTGGGCGAATGTCAGAGGATTCAAGCACCATTCATGTTGCAACCACTGGTCAGTGGTGCTGGTTTACGGAGGCATCTTTAGGAATTTCAACTAGAGCAATGTCCTAGTACCTCTACCCAGACTGCTTGCTCTTGGGTCACTGCAACATCCTGCCATAATGCGAGCTGCTTGGGAAACCCTTTTCTGTTTAAAACACCACAAAATAACTAACTGCATGGCTTTTGAAAGCCCAAATTGCCCCGAGGAAACCATCAGCTTCAGGAACCTGCCCTCATGCCACTGCATCAGGTGCCCTTCATGCACCCGGGGGGCGCGCTACGGGCTTGTACAGGCCCACAAGGAGCTTGTGCTGGACCTGCAGGCTTGTATGGGCCCTTGCTGAGCCCTACGGCCTCGCATGAACGCTGTGCTGGGCTTTCTGGGCTGTACATGCCTGTGATGCACCCGGGGGGCGCGCTACGGGCTTGTACAGGCCCACAAGGAGCTTGTGCTGGACCTGCAGGCTTGTATGGGCCCTTGCTGAGCCCTACGGCCTCGCATGAACGCTGTGCTGGGAGAGCTCATATGGACCTGCACTGGGTCCTAGAGGCCCATAGGGGCCCTCACCAAGCCTTACAGCCGTGCATGGGCCTGCACCGAGCTGGTATGGGCCTGCACG